GTTTTCTGACAGGCTGTACATGTCTGACACCCCACATTCTATACTCACACTTACCATTCTGAGTTGGTGTTTTCTGACAGGCTGTACATGTCTGACACCCCACATTCTATACTCCCACTTACCATTCTGAGTTGGTGTTTTCTGACAGGCTGTACATGTCTGTCACCCCACATCCTATAGCTACCTGCTATTTGATACTCCCACTTACCATTCTGAGTTGGTGTTTTCTGACAGGCTGTACATGTCTGTCACCCCACATCCTATAGCTACCTGCTATTTGATACTCCCACTTACCATTCTGAGTTGGTGTTTTCTGACAGGCTGTACATGTCTGTCACCCCACATCCTATAGCTACCTGCTATTTGATACTCCCACTTACCATTCTGAGTTGGTGTTTTCTGACAGGCTGTACATGTCTGTCACCCCACATCCTATAGCTACCTGCTATTTGATACTCCCACTTACCATTCTGAGTTGGTGTTTTCTGACAGGCTGTACATGTCTGACACCCCACATTCTATACTCACACTTACCATTCTGAGTTGGTGTTTTCTGACAGGCTGTACATGTCTGACACCCCACATTCTATACTCACACTTACCATTCTGAGTTGGTGTTTTCTGACAGGCTGTACATGTCTGACACCCCACATTCTATACTCACACTTACCATTCTGAGTTGGTGTTTTCTGACAGGCTGCACATGTCTGTCACCCCACACCCTATAGCTACCAGCTATTTGGTACTCTAATGCATCACTTAGTTTAGCTACCAATCGTTCCTGATCAACAGTGTCCATTTGATGAGACTGTGATAAGATCATTAGTGCATGTTTGTATTGTGATATAGCTTTCTCTATGTTGCCTTGTTGGAAGCTGACAGCTGCAAGTCCTTCGTATGACTGCCATTGTGATTTCTTGTCACCTGTTTTGGTAGAATAGAAAAATTAGTAAACAGTTACAAAAAGGTAAACAGCACACAAGTAAGATAAATCTGTCTGGGACGAATTCTTGTATCAATATTTAGCAGTCTGAAAATAGTTTCATTTGACATTTTAAACGAAAATGTAGTTTTTCATACACTTTTGTAATTGTACTAGCGGTTATATATGTCAGCGCTCCACGAAGTGGTCCGACTCGAGTGAGAGTAGATGGCACAAGCTGAGGTGTGCATGAAAGGGGAGGGACTATGCGTAAACATTCCAATAACTTCCTTAGTGTACATGTATGTGCACAATAAAAAAGACGTTTTCAGTTACAGGGCTTGTAAACTTGCTCGATTCTTATTTTTTCAGCGCAAACAGAGGTGAACTCGGTCAGTTACGAGAAGGGAAAATGGATGGTTTTCACCCCATTGTCAATGACAAGATGAACCAAGCTGTGGGTACTGCCCCAGATTAGTTTATTGGCGGATGTGACAGGCCTGGCTGGTCATGATAATAGCGGGGTTCGTTTGAGGGGCTCGTCAACATATAATTCCCTGACAATATGCTATGAATATGTCAATACTTCTTGAATTTGATATATGACGTTCTCAACAATTTTAAAAGTATAAATGTGTCTCGAAATAAATAAATTGAAAGATCCAGCAAACTATACTCCCGCAATGAAATGATTGTTGACAGATAACATTGCGGAAAAAAAGGTATGCGTGTCCTTGTTTTGTAACGCATGAATCACACATATATTCATGTATATTTGGCATTGGGCAACTGGGTATGCCTGTTCCACACAGCCGCATCACGAAGATTTTTGTTGGAGCCTTTTTTTTCATGTTGCATAGCATCATTATTGCCGAGCCGACAAGACATGTTATGGCACACATTATACTATGAGATACTATACATTGTGTATGTCATTCAAATAAACCACAGTTTTTGTTGCAAGCACTGAACTTAATAAGGAGCTCTATGATGCAAGTAAGAAAACTGCTTTAAAAAGATTGCAGGAGCCCAGTGAGCGTTGAACGTGATTCAATAAGTCCTTTCAAATCAGATAATAGCATAATGTATGCTTACGGAATTGACACCCTCGGTTGAATGATAAAAGCTACTGTAGAATACTTTATTTTCGCTCGGAATTTATTTTCGCTGAAGGGATGATTCCGTGAAAATAAAATCCAGCGAATATACTTTTTTTCCTATATTTCACATTAAACTCATCAAAAATCAGTGAAAATAAATTCCATACAAAACACCCAAAAAGCCTTTTCAGCGAAAATTAATTCCAGCGAAAATAAAGTATTCCACAGTATGTACCAAGTAAACCATGCAAATTACATTTCCCATCATGCATTGGTGCAATCCCTGGGATTGCGGAGCTGCGCTTTAACATGTATGAGAATGTATTAAGAATGAAAAGGACAGGACAACTTTATGAGTAGGTGTTCATTGAAAAAAATCCACTGACTTGCTTACATTAGAGAGATGTAAGTTTTGTGTGCAATTCAATGGACACCCTGAAATGCTGAAAACTAGATGACAGTCAAATCAACATACATGCTTGGCAATGTTTGACTGTTTGCTAACAATTTCTGACTCAATATAACATAATTGTTGCATTTGGTATATGGCACATACTACTTTATACAACACATACAAATTATATCAGACAATACTGCTTTAAACATAAAGACATACAAAGAGAACTAGTACCTGCATCCTTAGCTGCCTGTAAAGAGTGCAAATAAGACTCCCCAGCTGACTCATAATCTCCAAGTTGACTAAATGCAAATGCCAAGTTACTGAAACACTGCCCTTGTCCATTTCTATCACCCAACTCATCTAATGAGAATAACATGGAATATGTTAGTACACATAGAGTGTATTTCATCTCAACAGTATTCAAATATAATCTCAACAATCAAAGTGCTTCTGATTTAGAAGATACATTGTATTTGATATTAGGTACGATCAAACTTAACAATGTCACATTCACATTTATAAACAAAATAAATATGGAAATGAAGGAGTCACAGGCTACATATTTTTTATTCAGCTTTCTTCATAAGTCTTGATTTCTTTTTGATGACCTTTCTCTCCAGCAGTCAAAATTTATATATCATAAATTATGCATGTGATGCACACAGACTAAAGAATAGATGTGTCAAATTACAATTTTGGAAATAAAACAAGCCGCAATGTTTTCAGTTTTTTTATGCAATCACAGAAGTTTTATTTCTGAAGTGGGATAGAATTCTTTTTTCACAGCCAGTATGAAAAGTATGATTAAAATCTGATATATTGTGCGGCATGAATTTTATTTTATTTTTATGTTTTTATTATTAGTGTATACATTTTATTTTGTATTACTTCCACTATTGCAACATATAGCCCTTGTGGGCTTTTGGGATTACCAAAACTTTTAAAAAACTATCAGCAAATAAATAAGAAATCCAAATAAAACAAAAACTATTTTTAACTTTTTTGAACCAGAAACAAACCTATTTTACCTAATATTACAAACACAATGGTTCCTATTATTAAGAGCGCTCACATACATTGGTTGCTAAGAAACATTATGGCCAAATTTTAATACAATGTTACAATATCATTATTTGTTGCATTTACAGATAAAAAGTATTTACTTGCCAATGTTAAATATAAATGATGTATTTGACGATTTTGACCTAATCATGATCCTTCATATTCTTATTATGACATGCATTTATGTTGGTTTTATAGGAAATGTATCAACCACACATCGTCATCTGCTATATGTATAGATGTTGATTTGTGGGCACTATTTGGTTTTAATTATTGAGACACTCCTGGCTTCCCATAGTCAAAAGAATATTGCCATTACTTACTGTGTAATGACGCAGCAGTTTCATGGAATCTCAAGGCTCTCTGATAATCACCGAGTGAGTTATAAACAGCACCTAGGTTTTGTAATATCACTGCCTCTCTCTTCTTATCACCATGTATGCCCCTTACTAATGGTAAGGCGAGTTCAAAGCACTGCACTGCCTTGGAGAATTCTTTGATCTGTACGTAACCAAGTCCTAAATCATGATAAATTTTACCTGCAATGAAATTAAAAAGGCGTTGAGAAAAACTCTCATTATATGGTGACATACAAGACATGAAATATGTTCACAGCCCTTAGTCTTTTCACCACCAGACTTTCTCGCCCAAATTTGTCGGCATGTTGTTTTTCCTTATATTTTTCAATATTTCTAGAAATGAACCCTAATTTTAGAGCCAACAGACAAAATTTGAGTCAATTTTCAGCTTTTAATTTAAAAAATTCTACTTTTTTTGTCCCAATCTTCTGAAGAAAGGTGCAGACTATAAAAAGAACTATTTTGTGAATTTTTGATGAAAAGAGGGAACTGGTGGTGAAAAGTTTAAATATTCATAAACTGCTATCAAATTTTGGGATATCAGAATATTATAAAGTTCATAATAACAAAATGTTGTAAAAGTCACTGACAGGGAATAGTTAACTGCAACCAAATTTTACGATTTTCACGAAATTCGTACAGGTACATATATTAACTAAAAACTGTATAATACCATACCGGTAAACTGCATTATTTTTGTGAGAGGCTACAGAAATATTTGGACATTTAAGACAGCTAGTTGCCATGAAAGATCATCCCCCCATAAATGTGTCAAATCATGTCATATCACAAAAATTGATAATGACGACAATTATTAGTAAATGGTTTTATAGTATCTTGACACAGTTGTCATCTAAATTGGATAACTGTAGTGCTATTTACCTAATTTACTGATTTGTTCTTGTTGACCGCACAATTGTAAACAATCATCCAATATTTTAATAGTGGAGATAGTATCCTTGGTGTGCATCAAACATTTTGCCTGGTCACAAAGTACAGTAATTTGTTTCAACACATCATTCACATCTCTATATTTCTCTGCTGCTTTTTGATATTCCTGTTCAGCCTGTGAAAATTTCTTGAGATATTTATAGACAGTGCCTAGTTTACAGTGAGTCTCGGACACCATGAGGACATTTCTCTCTTCTGTGTATTCTTGAATAGCTTTCTCATAATTCTGGATTGCTTCGTTGTAGCTCTGTAGCGCATAATGTGCAAGTCCAAAGTTATAAAACAAGTCTCCATTAGATTCGCTGTCTTTAGTGTTTTCAGGCGGCACAGCTTTTTCAAGCAGCTCAATTCCTCTTTGTGGTTGTCCGGTAGCTATGTAGACGGCACCAAGATTAAAAGCACATGCTCTCACTGTGAATGCTTCACTTAATTCAACTGCTCTGTTATAAGCGTGTTCAAATGCCTCTGTAGCTTTATTCATATGTCCATTGGATAATTCTTCATTTCCAGTCTTTGTATACTTGTCAATATCAGTGTATAAAAACGTCTGTCGTGGCGTTCTTGTTTCTGGTGGTATTGATTCTCGTGGAAGTGCTCGGATTTCTCTCCTGGGTGATATTTGCGGTGATTTGGTTGTTTGTGTTCCAGGGTGAAACATATCTGCCTGTACATCCATATTTCACAAAATATTCTTAGATATTCTGAAAGACAAGTCACTTCAATCTTAATTATTCAAACAAAATTTAAATTTTAAGCATTATTATTTTTATTAATACACTCTGAATCATGAAGACATGAACAGCATTTAAGTCAATTCATTAAATATTTATAAAACATTTACCCCAGAAGATCTTCACACTTTTATTGGCCATTTTTAGTACTGGTAATGCCTATTACCCATGAGTCTTTGCAGGTTTCTTTCGATCACTGGCCAATTTACTGTCATGTATGTGAAAGATATTCTATGCGAGTGGTATCCACTAGGACAATGTGATTGGTCAAGTTGTTTTCAATCAATCAAATAAATTTATAAAACATTTAGAAATATTTTATATAAAAATTATTCATACTTCCATGTAATAAAGTGTATATGAACAATGAGTATAATTAATACTTGGTAATTTAGCTTAATTCTGAATATATATTATGACATCATACCTAACATACTGTTACTGTAGAATACTTTATTTTCGCTTGGAATTAATTTTCGCTATTTTCGCTGAAGGAATGATTCAGTGAAAATAAAATCCAGCGAATATACCTTTTTTCCTATATTTTACATTAAACCCATCAAAAATCAGTGAAAATAAATTCTATACAAAACACCCAAAAAGTCTTTTCAGCGAAAATAAATTCCAGCGAAAATAAAGTATTTCACAGTATTTCATGAAGGTATGAATTTGTTTCATATATACATTGTATTTATAAATGTTTTATACTGCCAAAGATATTAGAAAACCACTAGACTAACCACAGCATGGGAATCTTCTGGATAAATATATGATAAATATTCATGAAATGCATGTGAATGGACAAATTAGGTGATGCGGCCAATGAGATGAATACTGGATTTTGATTTATCAGAAAGTAATCTCAAAAAAAAAAGCACTAACAATTATTGTACACTGGATCATTCCATATGACTTATTTTAATTTAACCAATGATACGCCTCAGTCATTTATTTACAGTTTTTAAGGCAGTTTCACCACTAAATATAATTAACAAACAAATAGTTCAATGTCAATATTTGTAAGGTACATGTATTAAGGTTGCACCTGTTTACTGCTATTGTATTGTTACGCATAGCGCATTACCAAGATTACATGCTTGTCGTATTTAAAAATTAAATGTAGTGACTGAGAAAATGGAATAGTTGAATCCGTATCTCTGTTGGACACACACGCCACCAAATAAGGATAACTCAGTATGGATTGGAATAGTAATACCATGACATGAAGGTGGCGATTGTTCAGACTACATAAACACGCACACAAGTCCCCCCCCCCCAAAGCAACAGCAACTTCCATATGAACCACTGATATACGTGTTGTAAACGGTATTTTTGCCAGTGTACAACATGACAAACAAAGCTGCTATATCGTGGTCGTGTCAACCGATCAATCTCTCAGTTCTAACTATCTAATCTTGGATTGTTCTTGATAGATCAGTCTATACTGCAAACAAGACAGCTTACCTTATGAAACGAATCCTAACAAATTAGACAGTCTCTCCATTACCTGGTTTCCATGTTTAGAAATAAATAGTACACCAATGACGTCACACGCAGCAACAACGCTAGCGGCGCACTCCATTTTTCTTTTTGTTGACTGAGGGCAGTATTTAAATGTCAGGTGACTAGCATGTGAGTTCACTTGACCAATCGGATTTCAACATATGGTTCGTCCTCTTTGACCCAAAAGCTGCAAACATGGTAAGTCATTGTTTAAGTTCTCTGTCGATTATCGCGAAGTATTTCATATGGTTTGGTTTTTTTATTGGTAAAACGATTTCGATCGATTGACTATTACATAGAGTACAAAATATTGTTAAAATCATTGTTCATTAGTGGTTGGTTTTCCGGTAAATTGCCGAAATCATCGTGAAACGCGGTATACGAGAAATCGACCTGATCAAGACTTTACTACGTGTCACCATTTTTCTGGTTGTATTTATTATTTTTCCAATAACAGAAATCTGAAGAGGTATAAGTCGGATTGTGTTTTAAATTTAATTTATATTTACTATCGGTTCAATTGCTCACGTTATAGTTGATCGTGGTATGACAAAATTTGCGTTGCTATTTTACGATAATACAGGCATGCCGGTACGTAGCTGTGGAATCATAGCCCTATGTTGCCGACCGCATTATTTACGTGACTGACTCTGGCCGGCCCATAGGGCTATGGGGCCTTGTGCGACTGAATACCGGTTAAAATCCACATGCCAAATTTGGTCGTCGCGAAAATCACATTTTAAGACCTTCGAAAGTACTCACTATGTTTATTTACTTCCAAACAATGACCAGAACCTATTTGCGCTGTGAAATGATGACGGT